AAGCACTAATGAGAACAATAATATTCAACCCTTTATGTGGATCACCTCATTCCATTCTCACAAACACCCTGAGAGGTATTTGTTATAATTTTTGTGGATTTTATAAATAGAGAAACAGGTTTGTAGAAATTAAATTATTTTCTCAAGGTCACCTGGCTGGTAAATTATAGACTCACTGTCTTTCTGAGGACAGATTCCAAGCCTTTCACCCCAAGGTGCACCTGTTTGCTCTGTATTAAGGGTAAGAAAGGTGTTTGGCATCAAGAAAAAGGCTGGAATAATTCCGTTTAAATAATTCTATTTCAGATGTTTCACCTGAGAGATCAAAGAGTTCTTTACATAAATCTCACAAAGCCTACAGCATATTATTTATCTGTCTGTGATAGGAGAGTTGATTGCTACCCACTAGGAATCTCCATACATTCTCCTGTGTATCAGTATTAATGTTTTCATGAAAGCCTCCAAGTTTCCAACCACTTCTTCTGATGAGAAATGCGGGACACCTCTTTGAAGCTAAGGTATACAGTGTGTCTCTCATCCTGCACTCTTTTCTTCCCAGTTGTTGGGACAAGCCAGTGGGAAACCTTCTGAGACTCCAAAACCCAAATGAATCCAGATTCACCATTTGCCTTTAATTGGTAGAGGCCAATTTGTTTTGTTCCAAGGCGCGTCAGAGCCCGCAGAGTGAGCATTGTGTCCCGAGACTCAGCCCGTTTCATCGTCCTTCATTAGGATGCAGGGTGGACACCCCCAGCATCGTCAACTGGGCCAGAGGAACAAAAGCAACATGGAAATTGGAGCAAGCGATAAATCCCTCACTCTCCACTTTTTCAAAACAAGATTCTGACCATTTACTGGAGGACTTATTTTGTTGTTGTGTCCCATACAAAGGAACAGGAAACTTCAGAGGAAAGAAGGGGCCCCAGTTTCTTACACGGTGGCCCAAGGAGGCTGGAGGTAGCAGAGGATGCTGGCAGGAGGCTAGGTTGGCCTGGAAGCCAAGGAGGGGGCCACTCCTCTGGGAGAAGGTCACTCAAGAGTAGGGGAAAGTTTTCTTCCTTGGGAAACAATTGAGGGAAGGTGAAGCATGGGCTAGTAGCTCTGGAAGACTCTCCCAATGGGGGTCTTGCACATGCTCTTGACCCTGGAACTAAGCCAAACCTCGATGATTGTTTCTTCTTCTTTATCGACCACCTCATGAGGTCTGAGGAAGAACTCTCTCCACAGATCAATGGAATTCCTTTGAAATTAAATCCATCTCCAGTTTGACAAGAGTAGATCTTAGTTTTGGAAACATGAGTCCCAATTTGTATTTTGAGGACTGGTATTTATAAGAGATGACTCATCTTGTAGCTTGGAGAAATCTTTTAATGGCTTTTTTGTCAATTGTTCTCAAAGTTTAAACATGTGTGCCCTTTCAATTAATAGTTCAACATCTAAGAATTTATCTTACAAAAATATCTCTACATGTGAACAAAAACATGCAAGGATATGCATTGTAGTCTTCTTCATAATAGCAAAAAAAAATACAATATCAAGTTCATCTTAAAAAATTCATCCATACAGTGGAATACTCAACAGTGCTTTTTTCAAATGAGGTAGACCAATATGGACTCGCTTGGAAAAATATCCATAACATGGCCACTAAAAATAACCTGAAAATGTGTATGTTTACTTTAATCTACATTTGTTTTAAACAGTTTTTCAACCTTGGCACTACTGACATTTGAGCTGGATAACGCTGTTGTGGGATTGCTGTATGCACTGTAGGGTGTTTAGTGGCATCCCTGGCACCAACCCACTAGATGCCAGCATCACCCCATTGGTCCCCAACCAGTGTTATAACATTATAACAACCAACATTGTCTTCAGGCATTGCCAGTTATGACCTAGGATTCAAGGTGGAGAGCAAAATCACCATCAGTTGAGAACCACTGGTTTGAAATAATGACATATAGAGAACTTGGGTTTAAACATCATAGGAAAAACTCTGAAAGGATCTATCTCAAGTTTCTAACAGTTTTTCCTATGGGAACCAGAACTGGTTGGGAAAAATAGCATTCTCTCTTTATTTTATATACCGCTATAATATTGTTTGATTTTTTAAGAAATATATATTTCTTTTGAAATTAAGATAAAAAATCTATTTCTATCGCACTCTCACTTATAGACATGTGCGTGCACAAAGAAAATAAAGAGAATAGCTTGTATCAAGGGCTGTCAACAGCCTTTCCTATGAAGGAAAGACCATTGAGGACTCACTAATGGAGTATAAGGGTCCCCAGAACGCACCAATCAATTACCTGGTGTTTCACCATGTCATATGGCAAGAATGGTGTCAGAGGCATTGTGAACTCCATGGGAAATGTGCAATTATGACCTCTGGTTTTGATTTTAATGGGGTTAAAGTCTTCCATCTTCTATCTCAACTTTCATCTGCAAAAAGGAGCATCTACCTTCCCACAAAGACTTGTAACAGATTGCTAAAGCAGTATCTAGAAGGAGCTTTCCCTTATCAGACTTGATATTATATAAATAAAAGACAGGAACTCTGATTAATATTGAGTTCAGTGCCCTTAGAGCTAGCTATTTTTAAATCAAATACTGAGTCCAATTTGGGCATTTCAAGTTTGGGGAATCTCAGAATGCTGGAGTTTCTTCCTAATATTGAAAGAACAAGGACATTGTTCCAACTCATTGATATCCTATGAAGGAAACAGTTCACCTTTTTTCTCTTTTTTGCTCTGCTAGCAGACAGACTTCTCTGGAATAAAAATACTAAGATCTGTTCAGAAATTAAAAGGTAAACTGCCATGGCTAACTTGTGTGATGCTCCCCCAGTGAGTAAGTTACAACGCCTATCAAGTTTCCTAGCAGGAAAAACAAGCCAGGATCTTATAGAAAATAGTAAACATTTAATCCCCCATGTTGATGCTAGTAAATAACATATCAGATATCCACTGCTAGTATCTTCACCCAGCTGTAATGACAAGATACTGAGGAATTACGGATTTCGAACTACATTTTTAAAACTGGCAAGGAGACTCCTCTTTCCTATACTGGTATTTTAAAGTGATTTGTGACCATTTGTGAATCAAGATACAAATCAGAGCAAAATTTTACATTCTTTATTCATAATGTTTATTTTTTCTTGGTGGAATAACAATGCTGAGAAATTCATTTTTCACTCACCAGCTACCCATGTATATAGGAGTCATAACTTTTGGAACAATTTATTGCTCTTCCCTGATTTGAAGCAGCTTCTTAAAGGTATTTTGGCTTGTGTGGTGATTTTTTTCTTCCAGTTTTACCTTTGTTTGTCAGAACCCTAATATTATGTGGTTAGTTCATCAAGAAGTTAAGCATTTTCTGTTTGTTTCCCCCTCTGAATCCAAACGATCTGCCCCGAGGAGCCCTGCCTAGGACATTATTTGCCCTGCTTTGCTGTTCTCCAAAGTTTGATTCTTCCTGTTCTGCACATCTCATTCTAGGGTAATAGTTGCCTTCAGTGATAGCTGCTTTAGGTCTCAGACTTATGTTAGAACACATGTCACACACAGGGTCTTGGTTAGCAGGCACCTTTGATTAATTATTTTCACAACATACATAGTATTGAAGTTCCTCTTTACCAGTGGCGCAATCCATGGCACCACATGGTGGAACGGCATAGTCATGGTGCTGCCATTTACAGTGGTGATGCTTCCAAGGACAAAAGACAAGTGTAGAGCTGGCAAATGCATGTTTCTCTCTGGCAAAAGCTCAAATCTAGTATCAGAGAACTATGCCCTGCTTTCTCAACAGCATCAATTAGAAACTTCTATCTCTTTGAGAGTGGATTGCTTATTTGAGTTGGTTTCCCTTGGTTTTTGCTGGACCCCAGTTTACTGAAGGGCTATGATTTTTCAGTTTTTGACTACTGTCTTTAAGAACTAGAAAACTTCGATGATTCAATGTGACAGCCAAGATATGGCTCAGGGGTTGGGGTGTAGCTTAGTGGAAAACCATGTGCTTACCATGTATGTGGCCTTGGGTTCAATCACCAGCAAAAGAGGAGAGGAGAAATAGGATGAGGGAGAGGGGAGACGGGGAGAGAGAGTAGAGTATGGCATGGAGAGGGAGAAGAAAGGCGGGGAGAGAAGGGAAGGGAAGAGGAGAGAAAAGAAAGAGGGGAAGAAAAGAGGAAGAGGGGGAAGGAAGAGAAGGGAAGGAAAGAAAAAGAAAGGGAAGATATGGCTTGGGTACCAGGTTATGAGGAGGTATTCAAATGAGGGTTAAAGAATGAGAACTATCCTAGAGACCGATAGCTGTGGCAGGCCACAGTTGGAAGGATTTCTTTCTGCTATGACTCTTCTCTTCTATCCCATCTCCCATATCCCCCATTTAATTCCAGGCCTGCTGTAAAACTACTGGAGAAATATGAAGCTAATCTCACCAATTCAGGATAGGCTTTTTCATAAAAAGACAAGGTATCCTGTATTTGATTTTTCCACAGACCCTGACCCATAGTAGTCCCTCAGTAAACATTAGTTGGTTTGTCTATGACTCATTTCTTATTTATAGGATGATCATGTATTTTTTTTAAATTTCATGTCACAAAATATTCTTTTTTATTTCTTCTCCCAACTATTTTAAATATAGGATGGTAACTCTAAAATCCAGATCTTAGGATGGACAGAGTTCAGACTCTTAGCCACAGGAAATACGATGATGGTGGCTTTCTACTACTGACTACTGTCTCAGTGTTTTTGAGCTCTGAACACTATCTGAGGTCATTGTATCCTTTTGAAGGGTATTTGAAGCAGGTGAGGGCTGGAAATGTCAACAGGTAAATGTAGGTAGTTCCAGACACACAGTCCTGCTCTCCTTAGATCACTCGGTGGGGTACCTATACCATGTGACATCTTGGATGGACCATCCTAGACACCAAGGAAAACCAGCCCTATGAGCTCCCAAAGCCCTCTCCATGTAACACCTTTACTTCTACTCAAGAATATACTCACAATTTTCACAGCGCTGCCCAGTATAGCCTGCCAGGCAGGCACATTTATAAGATCCACTTGTATCCAGGAGGCATGTGCCATCATGCAGACAAGGAGATGATGAACAGGCTGGGGAGGAAAAGACATTCCTTAGTGCCATGGTGCAGTAAGTCCATCTCTCCAAGGCCACAATCTTCACCCAAGTCTTTTACTTGACTTCTTACATTTTTATTCTTTGTACTGAATTCATGTTACTCCTATTTGACAATGCCTAAAACTAGTACTTATTAAATGCTGAATGCTGCTGGGGCTACCTGGCACTTCTGAAGCCCCCAGAAGTTTGCTCAAGGTACCTCTAGTCTGAGGGGCATAAGGAAAGCACAAACGGGAGCATTAAGCATGCTTATATCTCTCCCATAGGCACTCAGAAGCATCCTTGGGTGGCTTTAGAGTGCATTCTTTCAAGAAGGCTCAGCATTCTGGTACCAAGAGACACCAACTGGCACACATCTTTGTGACCTTGTTGAAAATGCACTCAAGAATTTCCAAACATATGTTCTGTAAATATTAGTCCCTTACGATGTTAATATGTGCTCAACTACATAAGCATTCTGGGCTCAAATGTGCTGGGGAAATGCTGCTGACATTCAGTGGTAATTAACCAGGTGTCTTTACTGCAAACCCTCTTCAAGGCCATAATACACATTGTGAAGTTCTAAGAATGCACATGATATTCAGTCTTTTCCAAGCTTGTTTGATCTCAGAACCTACATTTTACAGAGCACTTTGGGGACTATCTCAAAAAACAAAACAAAACTGGGATACACTACTCTGTGTGTTACCCACCATTCCAGCATACAATTATCCCAATGTAGAAATACATTACTTGGCTCAATTCAGCAAATCTGTATGGAGTGTTTGCTCTCTGGAAAGCACTGAAGATATACAAAGATGATTAGGTGTATGAGGACACACTTCAGTGTTTTTACAAGCCTGCATTTCTGTTGGATGGCACTCAGCAGCAGCATGAATCACTTTTTTTTCATACCTGGTAAAGACACTTATGAAAGAATCCAGAACTACTTCAGAAAGTGGCAGGAACAATGGGAAAAGTGCATTAAAAATAAGCAGAAATATTCTGAGAGGGATTAATGGCAGTGTGTGTTACAGCAATAAGTTTTTAAAATATTCATCATGTATTTGATTGTATTTGCCTCCATGGCCTCTACCTGTGATCTCCTCAAAAATGGCATGGAAGCCATCAAAATTCTTGGAGCCATCGGAGTGGAAGAGGACATGGAGTGCAGAGCCCGTGCTCCGGACAGGTGCTGGTCGCTCATTGCCACAGAGACGCTTGATAATGGGGCTGTCGTTTTTGTCTCCATCACGGATCTCCATGTAGTCATACTGGCACATGTAGTCAAACTCCAGGCTCAGCATGACAAACCTGCAGAGGGGAGAAGGTGACAGAAGGAACAGGTGGACCCTAGGCAGTCCTCAGGGACAACATACAAAGACATTGCACCTGTCTTTGGGGAAATAAACTCTGATTAGGAAGACAGATAATAAATAAGCAAGGAAACCAAAAAACAAGGCAATCCCAAAGAGTGCTAAGTGCTTTGTATAAATTACCCAGGTAAGAGCATAAAGTGATTGAGGAGGGTAAATTTCCAACACAATGCAGTCAGGGAAGACATTTCTGAGGGCCTGCCACATGAGCAGAGTCTTAAGTAATGCAATGGAGCCTGACTTGTGAACCCAGTGGGTAAGAGTTCCAGGCAGGGGCTCTATAAGTGCAAAGCCTCTGGGACAGTAATGAGCATAGAATGTTTGAGAAACTGAAAGAAAGTCTTCGATGCTCAAGCTGTGAATGAAGGGCAGAGGAGTAAGAAGTGACGTCAGTGAGAAGAGCAAGAGGCAGATCATAGTCCAAAGCCTAATGGAAAGCCCCTGGAGGTCACACAAGAAAATAATAACTAGATTTAGACTCAGAGGAGAGGAGATTGCAGAGCTACAAAAGTGGAAGCAAGGAAGCCAGTTAGGAGCCAGGACAGCATCCCAGTGAAAACTAGCAGTGGTTTGAAACAGACTGGGAGCAGTGGGGATGGAGGGAGGTGCATGGCCTTGAGATTATTTCACAGGCAAAAAGACAGCTTTTGTCATAGCCTGGATGTGGTGAGTGATAGAAATGGGGGATGATGGACAACTGGTGAGCTTTAGGGATATACACTGTGCATAGGTTCCCAAGTGTTTCCAGCATTACAATCACATTTCAATTGGAGGCTCAGGTTGAAATAGACGGAAAGAAATCCCCTATTTTCATGCCTCCCTCGAGATCTTTCCTGGGAAGGTTGAATGCTTCCAGTCCTCCACTATTTTGTATTTGGGGAGAATCTTAGAGAGGCTCTTCAGAGGCTTTGAGGGGGCTTTTTTTTTTTTTTTTGGTCCCTGAGCCAGCTTTCCTGGTGGAAAACTCAAGTAATGAGCCACACTGCCAACCCTAGGATCTCAGGATATGGCGACACCAGCTCACAGAGAGTTTTGAAAAGGAGGATTGAAGGGGCGGGGCAGTCTTTTGGGATGCTTCCAATTTGGAGTTCTATGTTGCCCCTTCTAAATGACAGAAATCCAACTGGGATGTGACAACCTCAGAGTGAATCGATCCACCCGGAAAATACTTATGGAAAGTTTGTACCCTAGAGGATCAGGGATTTCAATCACACCCTCATCACTGGTCAGAGAAGAGGTAAGTGGACAAAGCGCCTTCAACTTGTAATGCCCAGCTGAACTGAATCAGCATGGTCTGGGCGTGGAGGATCCACCTGAGGATTCTTGCCAATAGCCATAAAAAGAGAACTGGAGGGAAAGCTTGTTGGCCGTTGATTTTCTAGAAGCTTGCTGTGGATGGTTTTCCCGGTGCAAACTTGGCTGTTCTCGTCAGAGGAGGAGCTCAGGGCCTCTCTGTGACTGGGAATGGCTGCGGCTTTCATCAGGGGAGCTCTGATCTTTACCGTGAGCATCACTTCCTGGCTCCAATGTGGATCCCTCAGCTTGGTGGCACAAATCCTTCATCCCACCACCACAGGTTTTCTGGCTGCCACCACTGGCAGCCTTTGGGCCTTTGGTACGGACAAGCATGAGACATTGCCATGGGCTCTTAGCCACTGGCTGAACTTGTGGAGGACACTGCCTTGGACTCTAAGCCTTTAGCTGAACTTGAGTGGGACATTGCTGTGGGATCCAGGCCCTTGGCTGGATTCTTTGGGCCTCTAGTGTGCGGTTAATCTCTTGCACTCCTCCGTATTTAACTTTTGGGGAGAATATCTATAAAATATTGTCTATAGAATAATTCTATAAACTATGTGTCCTGTATTAAATGTACTCCCTCAACAAAATCCTGACCACAAGAGTCTCTATATATATCCTAGGGTTATCAGAGCTACTCTGTCCCCACATAGAGGAAAAAGGTAAGTGTCTGGGAGAGACAGTAGAGTGAAGAATAAAGTGTTAATGTCTCATCTTTATCCTCCATCCCATTACATTCATAATGGCCTCAGATTCCTCAATTCTGGCCCTAGTTCCTCACCTCAGTTGGATGATAAACCCAGGCTTGGCATGAATGGTCCATTCACATCGAGCATTCAAGGGGTAGCTCTCCAACAAAATCTGACCCTTTGGGGCTCGAAGAACCTGGCCACATCCTGAGAAAAGAAGAAAAGGTTGGTACATGGAGATCAGGGTCAAAACAAGAGATTGGAGAAGGTCTCCTAAGAGTCTTTGAGTTCATCCCATACCACTGAGAACAGAACAAAGCAGAATAAGGGAGAGGAAATTAATATTTCTCAAGCACCTGGAAATGTGCTAGGTAATTTGCATAAATTAATTCACTTAATCCGCCTCACAACTTGGAAAGAGGTGTGGTAACATCCCAGTTTTTTCAGCTCAGGAAGCAGAATCAGAGAGTTAAACAGAAATTTGACACAAAGTTTCAGAATAGAGAATCAAACCTAAATGTGTGCAAATGTAAAGCCCAAGCCACTCTATTGTCTCGCCAAGATTCCAGGTGCCAGCTCCAGTTCAAAGGGCTCAGAAAGGAGAAGAACCCACAGCCCATCTTTCCCCTCCCCCATCCAGTTAGAAAATGTTCATGTTAATCTGTTCTATGACCAGTTATGTGGCAGGTGCCTCTTTAATACATGACGTCGAAAGGGAGAGATAGCTTCCAGCCTGTTGGACTGGACTGATAATCTTCAAAGTTTTTCTTACTCTCATTTTTTTTGTTCAAGCTCTTATAAAGACCAGTAATAAAAAAAATTGGAAAAATGCAAGGAAGGCTTCTTTCTCATTGAAGCAGAGGCAGGGGCTCCAAATCCTCGCTCTCTCTCCTCCCCAGTTCCCCTGGATTACCTCCAAAGGCTTCCATCCCTGAGATCTGAAAACTGCTGGGCACAATAGACTTTAAATTACATCATATTTTCTACTCATGGACTACCTAGACCTCCCCTCAAACTAAGCTTGTCTGCCACTCATCCACTTGCTCACACTGCCATAGCCATGCCTGCCTTCTCTGTGATACCAACGCCAGGCTTTGAACTTGCTTTTCCCTTAACCTAGGAGACCCATGTTCTTCACATCTCCTTCCTTTGGGAATCAAGCTCAACTGACACTTCCTCAAAGAGGCCTTCCTGGATGACTGAGCTGAAATAGGTTCTATTTTTCAATAGTCACTATCCTGACTCTTAATTTTCTTTGTAATACTCATCCCTAACTGGAATTATTTAAGCATTTTAAATTCTTACTTCCTTTAGTAGCTCTGGAACCTCTTCTAGCTTGTACACCTAAAATGGAGCAGGGCAAGTGTTCAATAAATATCAATTGAATAATGAATGTGATATCATTTTAAGCCAGGCACTGACTAAACATGTCACAAACTTTATTTCACTTAATTCCCATAGAAGACCTAAGCAAACAATGTTCATCTTCCCACTTCCCAGATGCAGAACACTAAAGATAGAGAAATCAAGTAACTTCCCCAAGATCATATGGACAGAGAGTCAAAAGACTCCATAAATTACTGTACTCATTGTAAAGTTAAGAATAGAAACTTCCAAGTCTGACTGCCCTTGGTTTGAAACTCACTTTCATCTTCACTAGCTATGCAGCATCAGGCAAGTCACTTTACCTCTCAGAACCCCAGTAAATCTGAGTCAGGTGTCAGTGAAGTGATACCTACTTCATATGAATTGTGAGGCTTCAATCTGCTTGTGGGGTGGAAACCCCATAGTGGAAGAATCGCTGCTGTTGCTGCTATTGGCTGGCAGAGCAGGGCTTTGAACTTGGATCTGTATAGTCCTGCTGCTGAGTCTTGACTGGTACATTAAACTGTCTTAGGGACTTCCTACCTCAGCCTCCTCCTGCTCCATTATGAAGCAGCAGGATTTTTCTTCTCCTTCCCAAAAAAGATACATGAAAACCCCCTCCTTGGAAGTGCACCCTCCTTCTTCCAGCACACCTCACACCTTCATCGCCCACATCTGCCTATCTGCTGCAGGGCTACGGAAGTGCTACACTGGGTGTGAGAGACAAAAAAAGAAGTCTTCCTGTGCAGCCCCCACCCCTCAGGGACTGGCAGCTCCCCAGCCTCCAAGGTGCTAAGTCCCAGCTCCCCAGTGAACCTCCTGCTGGAAATCTCAAGTTAGAACCAGCAGCAAATGCTGCCAACTTGATTCCAGTTCCTTCCTCCCTGTGGAACCTGGAATCACAGAGCTAGAACCCTGGGCCCCTCCCCAAATGCAAGAGCAGCTGATGCCCTCCTCATTCCTGGTCCTTAGCAAGTCCACTGGGACTTGAGCCAGCTCCAGGGTTTCATGCAGCTGATGGGGGGTGCTCAAAGCCACGAGCTCCACTCAGAAACCAGACCCGGCCACGTGAAAATGGTGGATCACTTATTCCTGCAGGCCCAGAACACATCCATTGTCTCAGCTCTTCATCATGCTGTTCCTTCTTCCTCTGAAGGGGAGGACAGAGCTGGCCCCAAGATGGGGAGCAACTCCCAACCAACCAGAGACAAAGAGGCCCCTTCTTGGAAATGTGCTTGCAGGCAGGGGTAGTAGGTGAAAAGGAAGGGGAGGAGCAGCCCCTCCCTCCTCACATCAAGGACCTCCTTCAGCTCCCCTCCCACTCTGCAGGGAAATAGTGGCCTGGGTGGAGGGACAGACTAACTGCACCTCTCTGTCCAGGCCAGAACAGTGAACACATCCCAGCGTCCCTGCCAAGGAAGTACCGCTGGCCAACCAAGCAGGTGGTCCTGAATTGAAAGACCGGAGCCAGCAAAGGGCCCGCCCGGAAGACATGTTTGGATTCCCTAACAACGCCTTGCTGCAGGGAGAAGGTGTGTGCGTGTGCGTGTGTGTGTGTGCGTGCGTGTGTGTGTAGAGGGATCTGTCAGTAAAGCCAGACCATCCTCAAATCCTCGACCTCTCCCACCCTTGCACATTGCTGTAGGCTGACATATGGGTGGCTGGAGAGACTCGGCTTCTTCAGAGTTGAAAAGAAACCTGCATCAGTTTCTAAACTAACAAGAGATCTGGAAGATTCCTACCAAATCGAGCACCCCCAGCATTCACACAGATAGCTTGTCATCTCCAGCATTAGAGGTGGGGAGGGGAGGGCAGGAGAGAGAGAGAGACACAACACGCTTCTGAGAAGTGGCCCCGCTTTGTTTCACTTTAATCCTTCCTCATAGAAAGAAAAGGAAGACCTAGATAATCATTCAGGCAGACAGATGCATTTGCATTTTCTTTTCCACTTTCAAAGATGACTCAAGAGCTGGGACTAAGTCAATGAAACCAGACTGAGACTGAAGCTCAGTTCGGTCACTTCCTGGAGAAGTTCACTTTATTTCCTGAGTCAAGGTTTTTCATTTGGAAAGGAGAATATTTTTCTTATTTGCTTGCTTAAGGATTAAATGAAATATTGTATTTAAAGTCCTTGGCGCTGTGCCTGGTTAGGACATAAAGTCTTAAAGATGCTTAATATTGATGCAAACGATATTGTTATTTTTGAGTCTTGTCTGGATTGGAGACACAGAGTATTTTGGCACAAGAATCACTGAGGACAGTCCAGGCTCTGACCCGCTGCTATAGATCCATGAAACTACATCTCATCACTGACTATGGCCTTGAATCCACCAGGCCCAGCCACCCAGACAGTGCTGGCCATGTCAAGACCTGGATGATGCCATGTGAATTGCTCCATGCACCAGCCAGGAGTGAGAAGGAAGCTTCCACCTTCCCCATGGCTTGGGTCACCCCATCATGACAGCCCAAACCCTGAGACCAGCACTCAGAGCCAGGGCCTCAGCTCCTCCATCCTCAAGGGGTTACAAGGTGAGGCTCTGGGGTGAGGCTTCTTAATTTGCTTCTTGGTCCTGCCACTGATAAGCTGTGTGACAGCAGGAAAGGTACCTAACTCCTCTGTGCCTCAGTGTCCTCATCTGTAAAATGGCCCTGATGAGGGCTGCAGTGAGGATTCGGTGAGCACATGAGGGCCCTTAGAACAAGGCCTGATTCATAGCAAGTGCAAAGCAGTGGATTTGATTGTGGGTTCAGGTCTTCACTGGGCATAATGAGGGCTCCACAAGTTACTCCGCCACTCGTCCTGTAATTTAGCTTGTTCATACTTCACGATAATTACTAAACATTTGCCTCTGTTCATGGTACAGTTCTATGGGAGCAAGGACATTATCTGTCTTGCTCACACTTCTATATGTGTGGACCCAGTGTTCAATGAATTCTTAACTAAATAATGACTATCAAATAAACATCTCTCATCTCCTAGACTAATTAAACCATTTTTAAATTAAACAACACCCAGCTCCAGCAAATCTTTTTTTTTTTTAGCAGTCTCACTAAGTTGCCAAGTTGCTCAGGCTGGGCTCAAACTGACAATCCTCCTGCCTCAGCCTTCCAGAGGGCTAGGATTATAGGCATGCATCATCATGTGCAAACCATTTTAACACATTCCTGCCAGTTTTTCCACCTGATGGGACAGTCATGCGTGGACCAGAGCCACTTGACAGTGAGACATATAAATTACAGCTCTGTCGTGAACATATGGAATGACCTGTCCATTCAGAAGGAATGATTGTTCAGCAAAAATTGTATCTATCACTCTACTACAGAAAGTCTTTCCTCCCTGAAGTTGCCAGGGTGCTCACAAAAAATGCACATGAATACAGCTCTGCTTATCCAGCTGTAAGTATGGAGTAAGGTAGCAGAAAGACCTTGGAGTGACTACTTTCAGTCTCTTGTCTGTGCTTCAGTTTGCCTAATTTCTATTAACCTATCTTTAGTTCCCTCATCCTTTCTCTTGTTGTCACGAATAAGCTCTTAATCCTCTCCAATTAATTATTTTATTTCAGATATTGTGCTTTTTCAGTTCTAGAATTTTAATTTGGTTCTTTTTGTTTTTGGTTTTTGGTTTTTGGTACTGGGGATCGAACTAGGGTCCTTGCACTTGCAAGGCAGGAGGAGAAACCACTGAGCTAAATCCCCAGCCCATAATTTGGTTCTTTTTAATATTTAGAAGTCTTATCTAAAATTTCTGATAATCATAATCCATTATAATCATCTTTTCTCTTCTTTAATATATATTATCTTAAAGTTATTCCAAAGTTCTTAACTGACAATTTCAATATTTA